CTTCAGCCAACTGCCGGGCTGGTCTGTTTCGAGTCAAGGTTCCATTTCCAACGAAGCTCCCTTTATGCTTGTCCCGGCCATTTGAGCAGCAGCAGCAGCAGCAGCTTCGGTAACCGTGGCATCTAGCACCAGTAATAGTGGTGGTTGGTGTAGTAGAGTTAGAAGTAGAAGTGGGGGCTGTAGCAGTAGCTGTTGCAGTAGCAGTAGCAGTAGCAGCAGCAGGAGGATGAGTAAAACGTAATAATAGCAGTAGTCGTGGTGGTGGTGGTGGTGGTGGTGGTGGTGGTGGTGGTGGTGGTGGTGGTGGTGGTGGTAGTAGTAGTAGTAGTAGTAGTAGTAGTAGTAGTAGTAGTAGTAGTAGTAGTAGTAGTAGTAGTAAGGGAGAAGGGAGAAGAGCAGCAGCAGGAGCAGCAGCAACAGGAGTAGCAGTGTGAGTAACGTAGCACCAGTAGTACTCGTCGTCGTCGCCGTTGTCGTCTTGATGTCGTTTCGTTTCCCGAGTAGCAGTCATCGTCTTCCTGGTGTTAGCGCGTCGTTGCAGTTGTCGTGGAACCAGCAGTGCCAGTAGATGCCAGTAGCACGAACAGCAGCAGTAGCAGGATCAGGAGGACGGCAAGGGGACTGGGAAGAGCAGTAGTAGTCGATGATATGTAATGTCTGCAGTAGCATGTATAAATATCTGCTTCCTCAGCACCAGTCACGAACACAGGCCAGCCAGACTGGCACAGAACACAAATGAATGATGAACAGCTGCTTCGGGGACATAATCAACACCCCGGTTTAGGTGTTTGTTGGCTTCATGCTTTGGTAAACCGTAGAAGTTCAAGTCCCGATCCAATCCATCTGCAGCCCTAGACCATGGAATCGCTCTCAACGACTCATGCCTTTTGTTTGGACCCCTAAGCCACTAAGGCTAAAGCTGGGCGCAAATGATGCGAATGCAAGTGTGACTGTGAGGTTAAACAACGGAGACAGCAGAGTTACAGCCTCGCAATAACTTCACTTCAGCATCCTCTCCAACCCTGAAATACTAAAGATTAGACCCAAACATCCCACAACCCTTGAAATCCCTGAAGCAAGGGGGGCCTGGTGCTGGCGCGGAGTACACGGCTTCAGGGCTGTTCGCATCGATGCCCCTGGGCTGTTCGCTCTTCGTGGGTTTAAGAGTTAAAGGGAACTCCAGAAAGTTGGAATATGGTTTCAGGGTAGGATACCTTATAATTTACCAGAAAGGGTTTAGGATATTCATATTCCAACTTTCTGGCTTTTACTTTAAGGGTTGTTCTGCCTTGGGGTTTTGCGGTCTAAATCTGTTAAGTCAGTCTTTGGGTTTCGACATTTAGGGAGTCATCTTGAAGATTGGCATAGTCTACACACACACACGTGTCCTTTCCGACTTTCGCATAGTTCTTATGTATGATACTGCTGAGAGTGGTCGCATGCAAGACATTGTGTCTTGTGTGGTTGGGTGAGTGTTGCAGCCAGTAGTGCTACAGGTTTGCCTGGCCCCCAGTTTCTTTTCATCAGGTGTACCCGGCAGTCGCAATAGGCCTGGATGCAAAAGGGAGTCTCGCACAGATTCTGGGTTTTGTGTCTGCCGAAGTCAGCACATTCCTTTGTGGCTGACGGTTTGAGGGTTTAGCTACCTCATAGTTTTTCTTAACAGCCTGGATCCTAGATAACTGAGAACAGATACACAACCTCTACCCAAAACCCTCAATCATATGACGCTGCCCCACATTCGCCAAATCCGCTATAGTGAAAATGTTCAGGCCGCTGCGTCACTACAGTCTTCTTCGCTAGCCACTCCCGGATCCCCATAACCCGAAGACCCTCAATCGAATGGATGCGCAGTCAGGTTTACAGAGTTTACAGTTTAGCATGTTTACCTGGGGCCTACCCCAAAACCAAGCAACTCGAAACCCCCAATCGCCTTGCCCTAAACCCAGAACCCCTATAGATCCTTTTTTGGAGGGCCAGAGATCGAAGATTTCAACCTCGCGGGCCCAGGCTCCGCGTTTGCAGAACGGTGGCGTGAAGACAGCGCCCCGGGGCCCCGCCTCGATGGTGAAAATTGCCCTAAAGTTCCTTTTTGGGGTTCATATTTCGAATCTTATGAGGTAATCCCAAAAAGGAACTACTATGGGGCCTCTGGGTGTCTCAGCAACAGACTTGCCTTGGCACGCGGCACGTGTTTCAGGTGGCTTCGGCCCGGACCCCTACGCCCGAAGATCAAAATCCCACCTGTGTCATAGTTGGGTAACATTTTATATGTTTTATGGGTACTTAAATCTTAGAAGGAATAAGAATGTACGTTTTTAATCCTATCCCAAACATGAACTAGCCACTCTCAAAGTTCGTGAGTTCTCACCTCAGACGAAAGTTGAAATGCCGAACGAGGTTTGCTGCGAGTTGTGTTATTTGTCATCCTTCTTGCATGTCAGCGATGAAGCACCGAGACCGACCGTGCCGATCAAAAGGGAGGTGCCCTGAGGGCACCACCCTCCACAAGATTGGTGGCTCATTTCTTCTGCTCAAGGACCCTCTTGAGTTTACTGGGTCATAGTTGGGTCACATTTTACATTTTCTTGGTACTTAAAACCAGAAAGGAATAAAAATGTACATTTCTAATCCTATTCCAACCATGAAGTAGTTTAGGGTTGTCGGTAGCGCACGCTCCTGTCTCTGGGGATTCTTCGGGTTCTGGTGCTGAAGATCCGAGTAGACGGGTGCCCTTAAGCCTAAACATCGGCATTGAGCGTGCGAATAGGCATTGCAGCATGCTGACTGAGATGTGGTAGTGCCTCCTGCCCAAGCTAACCCCAAAACTCGAAAACCTTAAACCCTAAGCCTTTGTAGAGCATTCTCTAAGCCCGTCATAGAAAGATCCAAAGAGGGGTCTGCTTCGCTTCTTTTTCCAAGTGCGTGTCGGAATGGGCGGGTAGGCCCGGGGCAAGGTCTGCCACTTAGTGGGCCGCTTCCGATTGCCCTGACAAATGGGGGGGTTGCTCTATATTGTACAGCAAATTCATTCAGTCAGATCCTTCAATATAGGTTTGACACACAACGGCTTGTATGTCACCAGATGCAACTTGGAGCAACCCTTCCATAACCTACCAGCCCATGCATTCCTCTAGCATGGTGCCATGCCATCGTGCATTGGCAGCAAGGAGGCGCGAGTGATGATGCTCCATATTAAGGATCCTACAAGGTAACCACAAAAAGGAACTACAAGGGAGACTACAGGTACTCTCCTAACAGGCACCAGAGGTCCCCATGCCTTGCTTCATTCTCCAACCCAGCTGAAGCGGCAGAAGGGGCCTGAAAACGTGGGTTCCGGGTGCGCAGACTGGGGTTTAAGTCGGGTGTGGGGTTCGCAGCCTAAACCTTGTGTACGCACGTCACCGTTGCTTTCGCCTCCTCTGCGTTCCTCGAACGACTCCAGCGGTTTTGACACAACCACATGCACGGCCAAAGATCGCAAGACACAATTTCGAGGCAGTAGCTGCTTCCATAAGGTCTAAGAGGAACCCCTAGCCACTGTCACTAGTCATGCCGGACAAGTAACTTTCACTTTCATCCTACCTCCAAGGCAAAGCCCTAAACCCTATATATATATATATATATATATATATACATACACACACATGTATGACTATGACACACATAGATATGTTTATATGTCATATATATATATGTATATATATACACAATATTCAGTATAATATGTACATGTACACACACACACACCAAAGAGTAATAATTGTTTACTTAGTTCGGCGAGTGCTGAGCCTCGCAGGCAGCGAGGAGTGCCACAAAAGGTCCCTCAGCGCTTCGGGTTTAGGGTTTAGGATGTCCTTATTTAGACCGACTCAAGAAGACTATAAGGGGTTCAGAGAAATGACAATCTGTTTGATGACTTGACAGTCTCCAAAAGTATATAGGGGCCCGAGCAATTACTGACACATTTTCGTATGGTTTTTAATAACTTTACTCGACATTGCGGCAGGTTATAGATATACTCGTTGTCGCTTTTGCACACCTTCTTCTTTGAGGATGCATGTGCAGTCCCTGTTTGCTCTCCTCGTCGACAGGCAATCGCCCGGATCCGCCCCAAAAGCAGGATTCTGATCTAATCATTAGGGCTACCTTATGTTCGCGTTTGGGCTTGAAGGGCCCTGAACCCTGTAGAATTGACGAAACTAGCCCTCCTACATCAAGGGCCTTCTATTATCGAGCCAGGATACTTTGAGCGTAGCTGCCGAGCATGTGGCAAGAGGAAGAAAGTCCTCTAATGTCTGCAGCGTGGTTGAAGCTGCTTAGAAGCGTGAGCGGTGTCCCTTTGAAAGCGGTCCCACAGCTGGGAGGACTCAGGGATACAGCTCGGTCGTTCCAATCCTCAAATCCTGTTGGTTTTGATTTATCAAGAGCCCCTGCCGGGGTGACAGCAAGAGAGGTGAAGCGCCAGAGAACGGAAAACTTCGATCAACCCCCCAAATATGTGGGAGTTCAGACAGTCAGTGAAGATTAAGATTGACCCCAAACAGTGGGTTCCCGAAACCTACAACATCAGTTGTAATTGTTGCCCTTAAAGAGACGGCTTCGGATTGGTCGTGTGAAGTATGGGATGCGTTTGGAAAGTTGAGCTTCCCTTGCTGCAGTAGACGGGGTGTAGCCACTTTCAGGATGCTTGTAGGGTTTGCGGTTTAAGTTTGGGGGCTCAAGTCTCGATGCAAGAAATCAAGGCTTAACCATCTCCTGGGGGGACGACAGTATCATTCAGGGAGTGTAGCCAGTGTTCAGGACGTGTTGTGTTCACAGAGATGCCATCATCATACTGCAGAGCACTGGAGAGGCTCAGCGACGAGAGCCTTAGATCTACTACCTTACTGCACATCGAGAAGGAATTATGCTGAACGGTGGATGTCTAGGGTGCATGTCTAGTAACTCTAGTAAGTCTAGTAGCCCACCTTGGCGACAAGAGCTCCGGGATTACTGAGGTGCGGCATGTTCAGCGGCTTTGGCGTGCAAAGCTCCGCTTCAGGCTACGTGCTGACATCCAGGAGACCCGTCACGTTGCCCGCCTGAACCCCAGAAACCCATCATGTTGCCTCACATGTAGAAGCTTGACCTTGTGTCGCAACTGTGACGCATCGATCAGCCAACGTTCCTCAGTGATCCTCAGTGCCCCACGACTAAGACGACGAAAAGTAATTGATTATTACAGTTATTGCTCATCCTGTTGATGGTGGTGATGAGCAGCAGCAGCAGCAGCAGCAGCAGTAGTAGTAGTAGTAGTAGTAGTAGTAGTAGTAGCAGCAGCAGGAGTAGTAGAAGTAGTAGTAGTAGTAGTAGTAGTAGTAGCAGTAGTAGTAGTAGTAGTAGCACTCGTAGTAGCAGTAGCAGAAGCATTAGTTGTGGTGGTGGTGGTGGTGGTGGTGGTGGTGGTGGTAGTTGTGGCAGTGGTAGTAGCAGTTGCAGTGGCTGTGGCGGTGAAGTGGCAGCGCAGCACTAGTTGTAGTCGTAGTAGTAGTAGTAGTAGCAGAAGAAGAAGTAGTAGAAGAAGTAGTAGTAGTGGTAGTAGTAGTAGTAGTAGTAGTAGCAGCAGTAGTAGTAGTAGTAGTAGCTACTAGTAGTAGTAGTAGTAGTAGCAGGAGTAGTAGCAGTAGCAGTAGCAGTAGCAGTAGCAGTAGTAGTAGTAGTAGTAGTATAGTAGAAGTAGAAGTAGTAATTGCAAAAATAGTAGTAGTAGTAGTAGTAGTAGTAGTAGTAGTAGTAGTAGTAGTAGTAGTAGTAGTAGTAGTAGTAGTAGTAGTAGTAGTAGTAGTAGTAGTAGTAGTAGTAGTAGTAGTAGTAGTAGTAGTAGTAGTAGTAGTAGTAGTAGTAGTAGTAAGTAGTAGTATAGTAGTAGTAGTAGTAGTAGTAGTAGTAGTAGTAGTAGTAGTAGTAGTAGTAGTAGCAGAGCAGCAGTAGTAGTAGTAGCAGTAGTAGTAGTAGTAGTAGCAGTAGTAGTAGTAGTAGTAACAGCAGCGACAGGAGGAATAGGAGTAGGAGTAGCAGCAGCAGGAGTAGTAGGAGCAGTTGGAGTGGGAGGAGGAGTAGAATAGAAGTAGTCCTAGTGGCAGTAGCAGTAGTTCTTTTTGTTGCTGCCCCTGTTGTGACAGCACAGAAGCATCAGTAGTACCAGATTAGGACTTCATAATGCATGCTGCAACTTGTCGTGGTGCTGTCGTCAATCTGAGGAACCTGCTTTCTTACAGAGAGAAATCCTAAGTCTACAGAATTAAACTTCTGATGCTGCTTGCTAGGAACTACCTGCTTTTCAGGCTATTTCCATGGATTAAACGAAAGTGCACCTTGCACCTGTCCCAGAGAAGGTAACATCCTCATAGGGCCATCCGTGACCTCGGGACTCGGAACCCCAGAGCTGCCAGGTGAACACAGCCAGTTCTTAAGCCCGAACATCGAGAGACCCCATGCGGAGGACCTGCTGGGAACGTTCAAGCTCATGGCGGTGACGCGTCTGCATATTATGCATGAAGTAGCAGCTTGGAGAACCGAGGGTTCAGGGCTTCGGGTTTCGAGAGCCCTAATCTTCGAACCCTAAGTCCTAAACCCGAAACCTTTTTCAAAAAGTCCGGGCACACAGGCTGCCTCACTCCTTGATGTTTTCGTTGCAACGGCCCCAAAACGTCCCTTCGAGCTCGGGCTAGGGGTTTAGGGTTTAGGGCTCTCGTGATCTTATACTCCATCGAAAAATACACCCGAAAAGGCTACACTACCTGTTTGGTCTGTCTACGTTCGGGTATAGGGTCCCCTTGTGGATACGGGAAAGAGAGAGCAACTACCATGATGATCCAAAAGGCAACCTCATCTAGAGGAAGCACCCTAAACCCTACCAGGCATGTCCGAGAGTGAGTGCTGAAACCCTATAAGCCCCATAATTCCGATAAGCTCTATTGAACCCCGTTGGCCTTACATTACTAAACCCCCAATTGCCACCAACAGCCGGGTTAGGCACTTCACGGTTTCCGGGGCCTCACGAGTGCTCTTGAGAAGATGGAGTTTGGAGCATAACATATTTGCCCGCAAGTCATTGGAAGCGGGTTTTGGGGTTGTATTACATATAGCAACCTGAAATAACCTGAAGGAACAAAGTTGGTGGGGAGGAGTATCGCGGCGTCCGCTTTCTGGCTGTCTAGAGACCGAAAAAAACTTCATCTTACATGCAGTCAGCTCAGATCAAGGGGCTTGGTTTGCGGTTCAGGGTTTAGGGGTTAAGGGTTTTTAATTAGGGTTTCACCATTGCTGGTCGTAGACTGGCTAGAATTGAGTCCAGTAGCAAAAAGGGTTTCACTATTATTCGATTTTTTTGAAATTTGACCCCAATCCTTACCCATCGACGCGCGCGACAAAACCGACTTGCGTATGGAGGACGAAACGGAGTGGCTGCGGCTGCGGCAATCCAAGAGAAATCCGGCTTTTGCCGCGCACGTGTCGTTAACGCGAACGATGATACGAGGCACATGGTTTTGTGCTTCCTTAAAGGAGCGCGAACTTGCCAAGAGGAGCTCACCGGAAGAGATCAGTCATGCACGGGTGTGAGTGAAGGTTGCTGGCAATGCGGCGACACATCCACATAGTGGATCTGCTCAAAACGAACTGGTGAGTTGGCATGTAAACCGAGGCTGAATGTGTTACATGGTTGAGTTCACCTGTATGCAGACCAAAAAACCTGCGTAGTGATTTTCTCAGCAATGCAGGAGGCAAAAATATAACGGGATTGAGACGTAGAAGTCGGAAAGTTGATGGTTACGGGTGGCCTCAAGCAATTGTGGAGGACGACTTATGACTGCCTTTGGCCTCAAGACGAAGCTTAGCATTCAGGGCTTAGCGTGCTGATGAGATTTCCTGAGTTGTTGAGTACAAGGATGGGCAGGGGCTCCGGGGTGGATGCTGTCGACCATCCCTAGCACCATAGTCTGGAAGTCTCTGCATTGCAGCTTCATGAGTAGTTTCTAAGCAGGGTTTCTTGAGCACGTTAGCCGGGGCTGCAGGTAGCTGAGCTGAACAACTATAGTTGCGCTAATTCTGAACGCCTCCTGGTTAAGACCAAAGCCCTCTTCACTGGCCGCAAAAGTAGAATCCTCACTAAGGCCCTTGTTAAGGGAGGGTGGTTTAGGAATTAGTGCTCCATGTCACTTACCTTCGTACACGTACCACCCTAAACTCCCAACTGGCTTTTGTTGGAAGAAATGTTTTGGCTGGAGACACGAGAGATGGAAGTGTTCAGGGTTTAGGGTCTTCGGGTTTCTTAGGATGTACGCTACTGTAGGTTTATAAGCTTGCTCAGGACGTTGTAGCTTACGCTTTTAGCGCTAAACCCTGAAGAGTTGTAGAGTTTAGCGTTTCTGGCTGGGCTTGCTTTTGTTTGCATCCGGCCTTCCCGGTCGCTGGCATTCGGAAGCTGGGGTACAGCTGGATGCTGGCACAGGCTTAGGGCTTGCATTACCTGCCCCGATAGCAGTGAGCGAAAAGAAACTGATGGTCGCTGCAATACCAGCGAGAAGCAGTATATTCAACAGATAAAATCTCGAGATAGCACCGGTACTCATTGCCGTCATTCGTCTTTAGTCTTCGAGCAGTAGAGTCCGCTACATACGGGCATACGAAGCCCCTGGTTTTCGGACACTCCCATAGATATCCGCACCCCACCCTCAACCCAAAACCCTTAACCAACCCTGGGCCCTACAGTAGAAGCCAGAAAGTTGGAATATCATTCTCGTAACCCCTTTAAGGTAAATTATAGTGGATCCTACCATTAATCCATATGCCAACTTTCTGGAGTTCCCCCTGAAGCCAAAACCCTAAACCCTACACCAAAAGCGGTGAAGTCTGCTCAGGAGGCGCGGCAGGCTCACTTCGTCAATGCGGACATCTTAGCAGGCAAGCAAACGGGTAAATATGGTATTTGTGGTAGACATAGTATATTTCATGTATATGGTGGGAGGTTGCCTCATATTAGGGGCTGGCAGCTTTCGATTGTGTGGCCTAGTAGTTAGGTTGCTAGGATTAGGGTCAGGCGCTGTTTGATGCCAGTGGTTCGGGGCCTAGGATCCGGGCCTCAGAAGCATGACGTAGAAAATGCAACTAAGTGCACATGCGTATGTGCATAGGATGTGTGCAGTTCTATCATATGCACACAATGGCAGATGTGTGTACATGCATATGCATAAGGTTACATAGCTATCTACAGATCTATTCACAATAACTTGGTGGCCGTTTCGGGGATTTTTAATTTTTTGGTGTTTTGTGGGGTTCATTGCATACAACCAACTGCAGCCTTCAGGCTCGAGGGGTCAGACCAGGCATCAATCCAACCAGGTGTTTCCAGTGGAAACACCTGGTTGGAGTTGATGCCTGTCGGGGGATGCACGGACATCCCTCACCCCTGCAAGATGTCTGTGGTCCCACCACCGACATCTTGCAGGGGTGAAGGATGTGCGTGCATGAACCCCGACCGAGGCCCCAGCGTGCATGGATAGAGACATCCATCACCCCCGCAAGATGTCTGTGGTCCCACCACTGACATCTTGCGGGGGTGAGGGATGCCCGTGCATCCCCGACCGAGGCCCCAGCGTGCATGCACAGACCCAGAACAATGCACCAGGCTCGGTCAGACCCCAGCATGCATGCACAGACCAATGCACGAGGCTCGGTCAGACCCAGAACAATGCACCAGGCTGGGTCAGACCCCAGCATGCATGCACAGACCCAGAACAATGCACCAGGCTCGGTCAGACCCCAGCATGCATGCACAGACCAATGCACGAGGCTCGGTCAGACCCAGAACAATGCACCAGGCTGGGTCAGACCCCAGCATGCATGCACAGACCCAGAACAATGCACCAGGCTCGGTCAGACCCCAGCATTCAGGTCCAGGCTCAGTCAGTCAGACTACAGTAGGTGGTGGCTCCAAGGCTCCCAGGCTGCCAGGCTCAAGGCCCACCCCTAACCCGTGCCGCCATGTCTTCATGGACTTCGTCGTGATCACTCTTCGGCTGTGGCCGCAGCCGCAGCCGCAGCCTCAGGGGGGGGGGGGCAGGACGAGAGCAAAAATCATGTTATAGCATGACATGCAATGACAGTCAGCTGCTTTGACTTGCGATTCCTGTCACGGCGGCTCCCAGGCACTTTAGGCTCCCAGGCACTTTAGGCTCCCAGGTTTCAGTCAGTTCCACTGAGGTTTCCTGCCGACGGCCGCCGCGGCTCTTCGAAGACAAGCCGCCAGTTTTGCATTTACCCGTGGAGTGTTGCATGCATGCCTTGAGTGTTTGCCGTGCACCACATGCAATCAGAGTCAGCTGCTTTGACTTGCGAGTGTTGCCACTGGAGTGTTTGCCGAGCACCACATGCAATGACAGTCAGCTGCTTTCAGTTTAGGCTCCCAGGCACTTTAGGCTCCCAGGTTTCAGTCAGTTCCACTGAGGTTTGAACACCTGCCGACGGCCGCCGCGGCTCTTCGAAGACAAGCCGCTAGTTTTGCATTTACCCGTGGAGTGTTGCATGCATGCCTAGAGTGTTTGCCGTGCACCACATGCAATCACAGTCAGCTGCTTTGACTTGCGAGTGTTGCCACTGGAGTGTTTGTCGAGCACCACATGCAATGACAGTCAGCTGCTTTCACTTTAGGCTCCCAGGCACTTTAGGCTCCCAGGCACTTTAGGCTCCCAGGTTTCAGTCAGTTCCACTGAGGTTTTGAACACCTGCCGACGGCCGCCGCGGCTCTTCGAAGTTTGAAGACGAGCCGCCAGTTTTGCATGCACCCGTGGAGTGTTGCATGCATGCCTAGAGTGTTTGCCGTGCACCACATGCAATCACAGTCAGCTGCTTTGACTTGCGAGTGTTGCCACTGGAGTGTTTGCCGAGCACCACATGCAATGACAGTCAGCTGCTTTCACTTTAGGCTCCCAGGCACTTTAGGCTCCCAGGCACTTTAGGCTCCCAGGTTTCACTCAGTTCCACCGAGGTTTCCTGCCGAAGGCCGCCGCGGCTCTTCGAAGACAAGCCGCCAGTTTTGCATTTACCCGTGGAGTGTTGCATGCATGCCTAGAGTGTTTGCCGTGCACCACATGCAATCACAGTCAGCTGCTTTGACTTGCGAGTGTTGCCACTGGAGTGTTTGCCGAGCACCACATGCAATGACAGTCAGCTGCTTTCACTTTAGGCTCCCAGGCACTTTAGGCTCCCAGGTTTCAGTCAGTTCCACTGAGGTTTGAACACCTGCCGACGGCCGCCGCGGCTCTTCGAAGACAAGCCGCTAGTTTTGCATTTACCCGTGGAGTGTTGCATGCATGCCTAGAGTGTTTGCCGTGCACCACATGCAATCACAGTCAGCTGCTTTGACTTGCGAGTGTTGCCACTGGAGTGTTTGTCGAGCACCACATGCAATGACAGTCAGCTGCTTTCACTTTAGGCTCCCAGGCACTTTAGGCTCCCAGGTTTCAGTCAGCCCCACTGAGGTTTTGAACACCTGCCGACGGCCGCCGCGGCTCTTCGAAGTTTGAAGACAAGCCGCCAGTTTTGCATGCACCCGTGGAGTGTTGCATGCATGCCTAGAGTGTTTGCCGTGCACCACATGCAATCACAGTCAGCTGCTTTGACTTGCGAGTGTTGCCACTGGAGCGTTTGTCGAGCACCACATGCAATGACAGTCAGCAGCTTTCACTTTAGGCTCCCAGGCACTTTAGGCTCCCAGGCACTTTAGGCTCCCAGGTTTCACTCAGTTCCACTGAGGTTTCCTCCGACGGCCGCCGCGGCTCTTCGAAGACAAGCCGCCAGTTTTGCATTTACCCGTGGAGTGTTGCATGCATGCCTAGAGTGTTTGCCGTGCACCACATGCAATCACAGTCAGCTGCTTTGACTTGCGAGTGTTGCCACTGGAGTGTTTGCCGAGCACCACATGCAATGACAGTCAGCTGCTTTCACTTTAGGCTCCCAGGCACTTTAGGCTCTCCCAGGTTTCAGTCAGTTCCACTGAGGTTTTGAACACCTGCCGACGGCCGCCGCGGCTCTTCGAAGACAAGCCACCAGTTTTGCATGCACCCGTGGAGTGTTGCCCCTGGAGTGTTTGCCCAGCACCACATGCAATGACAGTCAGCTGCTTTGACTTGCGAGTGTTGCCGCTGGAGTGTTTGCCGAGCACCACATGCAATGACAGTCAGCTGCTTTGACTTGCGATTCCTGTCACGGTGACTCCCAGGCACTTTAGGCTCCCAGGCACTTTAGGCTCCCAGGTTTCAGTCAGTTCCACTGAGGTTTTGAACGCCTGCCGACGGCCGCCGCGGCTCTGCGAAGACAAGCCGCCAGTTTTGCATTTACCCATGGAGTGTTGCATGCATGCCCAGAGTGTTTGCCGTGCACCACATGCAATCACAGTCAGCTGCTTTGACTTGCGAGTGTTGCCGCTGGAGTGTTTGCCGAGCACCACATGCAATGACAGTCAGCAGCTTTCACTTTAGGCTCCCAGGCACTTTAGGCTCCCAGGGACTTTAGGCTCCAAGGTTTCAGTCAGTTCCACTGAGGTTTTGAACACCTGCCGACGGCCGCCGCGGCTCTTCGAAGACAAGCCGCTAGTTTTGCATTTACCCGTGGAGTGTTGCATGCATGCCTAGAGTGTTTGCCGCGCACCACATGCAATCACAGTCAGCTGCTTTGACTTGCGAGTGTTGCCGCTGGAGTGTTTTCCGAGCACCACATGCAATGACAGTCAGCAGCTTTCACTTTAAAGGCTCCCAGGCACTTTAGGCTCCCAGGGACTTTAGGCTCCAAGGTTTCAGTCAGTTCCACTGAGGTTTTGAACACCTGCCGACGGCCGCCGCGGCTCTGCAAAGGCAATCCGCGAGTTTTGCACGCACCCGTGGAGTGTTGCCAATGGAGTGTTTGCCGAGCACCACATGCAATCACAGTCAGTTGCTTTGACTTGCGAGTGTTGCCGCTGGAGTGTTTGCCGAGCACCACATGCAATGACAGTCAGCTGCTTTGACTTGAAATTCCTGTCACGGTGGCTCCCAGGCACTTTAGGCTCCCAGATTTCAGTCAGTTCCACTGAGGTTTTGAACACCTGCCGACGGCCGCCGCGGCTCTTCGTGAAGGCAAGCCGCCAGTTTTGCATGCACCTGCGGAGTGTTGCATGCATGCCTGGAGTGTTTGCCGTGCACCACATGCAATCACAGTCAGCTGCTTTCACTTGCGTTTCCTGTCACGGTGGCTCCCAGGCTCTTTCAGGCTCCCAGGTTTCAGGCTCCTGAATCAGGAGCCAGACCACTGGGTTAGCATTTATGTCAAGCAGCTCGGACATGGGTTCGTTGAAGCTCCGAGCGAAGGCGGCCGCGTCCACGGACACCGCCGCAGCTGCGGCTGCAAAGCCGTCCGAGTCCGAGACGGCGGAGTCGGAGGGCTTCACAATGGTCTCAGAGCCGGAGGAGCAGCAGCAGCAGCCTGGCTCGGGATCGACTTCGTTGGCAAGGGCCAGTGACGATGCCACTTCGTCGGATGTCGGCGAGAACATCCCACAAGTCCTTCAGTCCATGATCAAACCGGCGATGCTGCGCTACAAGGCTACGGATCTCCAGTCCCACTATATGCACATTGGCTTAAACGACTGGGAGTTCAAGTTAGATGTTACATTAATTATTTGGTTTATTGCTTTGAAATTATAATTAATCAGTTTTTTTATTTTAATAATTATTATTATAGATCCTCCAGGCACCTGAAGCAAGCGCCGGACCTGCTGAGAGACCGTTACGACACGAGTGAGCAGTTCACGTGGGCACTGGCAGGGTTCAATGCGTATCGCAGCTCATTCTACCCAGACGGCAGTTTTTCCGACAATTGTGGCATCATAGCATGTACCTCGGCAGAATAACATTAAAATTTAATTTAAT